TAAAAGTCAATCTTGGAAAAAAAAAAGTCAACATCCTCACTAAAAGCGTAAAAATTATTCAAAGACACACGATTATAATGAAATGATGCAGGGGCCAGTGATGTACAAGGGAGCGAAGTCCCTGGACCCAGACAGAAAGAAATCCCTCGAGGAGGCCCTGCAGTGGCTGGACTCCTTCATCCAGTCCTCGGGAGGATGCTGCGCGGCGGATCACCTCACCATCGCCGATTATGCCATCTTCCCGGTGTTGAACTGCATCCAGGTTCTGAGTCTTTGCTCCACTTTTGATTGAAACAGTCGATTTTGCGCGAGGCGGTGGGAGACTGGAAATCGTCTTGTGATCTGCAAAAAGGGCAGTGGCTCGAACGATTCTCGGTCCGGAAGTAAACCAGGAACTCAGGAGACACCGAGTAATATGACAAGAAGCTAGGATTCCTCGGAAATGTGGTGCGAATAACAAATGAAAATATTTGTAAAAAAAAAAATCCCATAAAAGGAAGGCAGTGCATCAGCTGAAAGAGATGGACAAAAGAAGAGATTCCTACGCAACTTCTTCCATAGCGCAAAGTTCATACCAACTGTACCAACTGGTTGCGCGAAACTGCTCTTTAATTTTTTTTTTCATTTACCTTCAATTACCACCCAGACCGCACTTTTGTCCAGTGGATGCTCCGAAGAAAGATAAAAGGCACGAAAACGTACATTTCAGGTTGGCAATTTTCCTTTTGGTGCCCATTTAGGCCATGGAAGTCGCAGACCTGTCGGCCTTCGGGAACATCGCGGACTGGATGGAGAAATGCAAGGCGGAGATGAAGGGCTACGAGGAGATCGAGGAGAAGGTCCTGCCGGCCATCAAGCAGGGATTCCTCTTCCAACTCGGCTGAAGCAACCGCCGACCCCACTCACATCCCCGAATATATCTGATCCCAATATTGAAAAAAAGGGAAAATACAGAACCTCTTTCTGCTATTGTTTCATCTTCATCCTTTGCTCAGTGCAAAACCGTCTCAAGATGAAAGCGCTCGCATTTGGACATAGGTGATTGAACGGAATGAGACCCACCTT